AGTAATTGGTGTAGGAAGTATAAAAAAGTAATGATGAGAGACAGGAGGAGAGCAGTGATAGACAGGAGACAGCAGTTTTTAGGGGAGAGAGTAGCATGGACACAATTGATACAATGATGTCAACCATACATGCTGCTTGAGGGCAGACCTACAAGTTCTCCAAACCAAATGTCAAAATTTGTCTTTTGAAAACACTCCATAAGATTTAAGGGCTTTTTGATTATTGGCAAGATGACGTTGTTTGTCAGTCTAAAAGAAAACCTTGTTTAACCTTTAGGCTCAAAAGCTTATGTAACACTATTAGACATGCTTAATACACAAGAACTACTTGCTTAAAACTGGAGCAACTGGATCTTTCGGCCATTTGGAGGCAATGAAACAAGTTGTGAGCACCAGCATATTATCACCTTGTGAAATCATCATGGCCAACATGCCAGTAATTGTAAGTCCAATATTCAGAGTCCTTGTAGCACTTTTAGCACCCCTTAAAGGGCCATATTTAGCTATTTAGCTGCTAAATGCTTCAACGTGTTACATTGCTAATTTAGTCTCTTTGCTGTTTGGTGCTGAGCAAGCCGTTGGAAACAACGTTGATAAAAGCAGTGAAACTGAACCAAAGACAATTGACTGTGGAACCAAAACAATGAGCTGAAAGAGGCTAAAATGCTTCATAGAGCTGAGAGGGACAGCAGAGTTGGTTGATATGTTTCTGTGCATTTGTGCAACTCCTTTTAATTTACACACTCATATGTGATCTGTATTGACCAGCTTTAAGAAAATTAATGGACTCTAGTAACCAACTTGTTGGTAGGATATGGGATGCAGCCAACAGGCATTTCCTGTCAGTTCATACAGTATATTGTGATTATTTTTGAAGCGCCCAAGGCTTTTTGTATTTATTTACCTGGCATATTAGTTGTCAGAATTTAACAAAAAGTTGTTTGCTTGGCAGAGAACTTTGCCATCTCCCCACATGACTGTCCAAAAAAAGTCTTACTTTTCACAGCTATTGTCCAGTCACAAAAGGCAAAGGATGAGAGACAGATTAAGACAGTAAAATAAAGGATGGTAGAATGTAAGGAAAGAGGGAGAACACAGAGAAAAAAGAGACCGAAAATTGCTCAGTGATCCACTTTGGAAATGATAGATTGAAAGAGAGCAGCAAGTCATCTATGCAGCTGGCCCCAGCAGCACGGTGCAGACAGTGTGCTTCAAAGTTAAAACAGCAAGAAATGTGGGGATGAGAGTAGGGAGAAAAAAAAAAGGATATATGAGAAGAGGAGTGGAAAGGGGACTAAATAAGAAAGATGATTGAAGTGAGGAGAAAAACAAAAGGAGACAAGGGAGAAATCTAAAGTCCTCACCAGTATATTCCACCACAACACAGCATGCACAAGGCTTCTGAGGGCTGAGAAAAATGGATGGGTGGAGGGAGCTGGGGGAGCGAGGAGCAGACGAACAGCACGATGAGAGAGAGAAGAAAATAATGAGTGGCAATTCCTCCCAGTGATGGCCGTCTCACTGCAGAGTAGAAACTGTACTCTGGCAAGATGATTATTCAGAAGCCAGAGAGGCAGACAAAAGAGTTAACCAAAGACAGAAGGATGGATGCATTTCTTTGTTTATTACTTTAAATTTGACTGAAACAGGTAGCTCTGTTAAAGTAGGGGATATATGCTTTGCCATGAAAGCAGGGTTGTCATCAAATTGATTGAAGGAGAGGAGGAGAAAAGGAGGGATGTAGTGAAGAAAGTGGTTGGAGGGTGAAGACCTGGATTTTAGAGAGAGGCTAAATTAGTTTGTAAAAATGATGCAAAGAAAGA